CCTAAGGTTCCTTTTTGGTACTCACCAACAAGGATCAACCGTAATTGTTTTCAGTCAGAAAGTGTCCTGAGTTTCCAGAAAATTGTAACTTATTACATTTTAAAAATTAAGGGTAAATTAAACGTTTCGGTTCTGGTTTTGGAGCGAGTCCAAGTTTTTGCAGTGACTAATACTTCAAAGGAAGGAAGGTGGGAAGATTTTCATACTGCTAATAGCCTTCTTTGAATTCAGCGTGAAAAATACTGGGTAATTTCTATAGTTTGGGCCATTTAGGGGAACCAAACAAATTTTTAAAAACTCTTCTATCTCATCATTTCAGTAAACTATGATATTATTATTTGAATAGAAGTTAAATGTGTGTTAACTGTAGTGTAGTGATAAAGTTTCCCGAACAAAGCTCGGTCCCCAGCTACTTGTTGTCAAACAACGCAATAATGTACGTTATTTCATAAAATTTGTACCTGAGAAATTTACAAATGGAAAATGCATTTCTCGTAAGTGTAAGCAAATCTTAAAATGATAGGATTTGTAATGATACGATCTTAAAACGAGCAATTCAGTATTCTTATTCAAAAAACCAAACACCCGCCACTGGATCAAAATATGCCCGCACGGCGCAACCCGGCACGGTGGGAAGCCCCTCTCGTACAATTTAAATTACGTACATAAGCCAAAAATTAAAAAATATGATTTAGAACATTTTACTTTTTGTATACAGAATCCACTGTTTTTAAACTTACCTGACCAAAAAATAGAATAAAGTAGTAGCCGACAAAAAAGTTCCATGGAAATTTGCCATGTCACGTTTCATAAAACATTTAAAATAATCGACTTTATTTGAATATTTAAAATGAAAAGTACCGGGGGACCGAGCCGTGGCTCAGTATGTATATTTCGATTGTAAAAGCAATATAAAGGAAACTCGTGTTTTCTTTATAACTAATTTCGGCTTTTATTGTTTAAGTTTCAGTGAAATTTTAATTTACTATGATGTAACATTAAATGGACAATGCAACACATTAATTTATTTAAATCTTACACATTTCTGTTATTGTAAATAAATCATAGAAATTAAAAAAAAATAAAATTAGTATTTTTTAAAATACGTTCCTAATGAAGGAATTAATATGCGATCACAGGTTAATACAGTAGCAATCAACTACACAGCATTAAAACAGCACAGTGTATGTAAGGGGTGTGATTTATTTCTTGGTACTAAATTAAGTCATTCTTCAAGTATAAGTAAAACTTCAGCATGGACATACTCTCTAACGTACTATCATATGATAGATTAGCTGAAGGCAGATAAGTCCGATTCAAGCTTATATTGCTTACTATAAAGATTGTTGTAATACAATTAACTTTAACTAGTGGTCGTCCAGTGGTCGAAAAATCGACCAAAAATATGTAATGTACGGGTTTCAAATGATTTAGGCCTAAAACGTTTTTTTCCTGTATGAGTAACTAAGGACTTCTGGATAATTTAAATAGGATATTTATATGTTTCTTACTCAGGAACAATGCCGTTCCGGGACACTATATAAATGGACGTTAACGTGATTATAAATTTGCATTTTACATAGTCAAAATACAATAGGTATTGCGCAACCGTGATATGTTAAGTCATTAACCTTGGTTCACTAGTAAAAACTACACCGTATGCTTACTCAAACAAAACAAAACTTGCTTACTGTACAGCAATAAATCACGTAAAGAACAAAACAAAAGAAAATGTAGACTAGAAGACTACTGATACCGTAGTCATCCTAGGCTACTACTACATGATGTTTCAGAACAGAAGTATGGGGGATAAAAATATTAAATAACTCATAAAACACCATAAAATCATAGTACTGTACTTAAGTCTTTCTGGTAATAATAACAATGATAAAAATAAGATAAATATAAAGATGATGTAAAACACCTCTTATTATTTCTCTTTGTTATATTCTTTCTTTGGTTTCTCTCCATCCACAAGTTGTCATGGTTACTAATCACCCAACGACCCAACCACAAAATGTTGTAGTGTTGTGACAGCAGACAGGAGCAGACGATTGTCAGTATGTCAGTGTCAGTGCAAGATTGTCAGTCTGTAAATGCGAGCGTATAGCTTGACCTTGACGCTACTGATTGATATTTCTCCGTTTTGCTTCCATCTTAATTTTGTCAAATGAACTGTAATATTTCAATAATTGGGAACCTACTGCACATAAAAATTACCGTGAATAGTTAAATATATCGTTCATATCGAAATATTATACTGAAAAACACATTTCATAAAACATTTTCTTGGGATTTGTGAGGTTATGTAATATATAGGCATCATGATGATGCGACTCCAGTTAAGCGAGGTTCTACTGTACATTATTTGCAAGTTAAAGTTACAAATAGAAAACCCATTATGGTTTGTATTCAATGACCGATGTATTATACAAAATAAATTATAACTTATTTTGATATAAATCAGAAGCATTTATTACAGCTTGCAGCACTTATTGGTATATATAAATATTCCAGTTACTATTACTTAAAAAAAAACAAAAAAAACACGAAATTGTGTGGCCATTCAATTTTTATAAACACAGTGTTAAACATATGACTCTGCAGAATACCGGATGGTAAAGAGTGTTTGGTTTCAAGAAAATAAAATAAAAAATTGTTTAACCAGCTTTACTATTTATTTTGAAAAATAATAGATAGGAAACCATAAGGATAGGTATGTGATTGAACTGAAATAATTGTAGAAAAACTTAAATCGTAAAGTCCACAATCTGTACATCGTTAGAAAGCGAGAGAGAGAGAGAGAGAGATTTGATAAGGAATCTGAAAAGTATACAAATAATCGTTTCTGGCGTTTGTTATATTGTACCCCCCTCCCCCCCCACATTTGCACTCGTGACCACTTTTTGTTGCTTCCTTATCATTCATCCGTCCCAAAATAGAATTCATGTAATAGTTTGTGTGTCAAATTAAAATTATTATAAAAATCTTTTATCTTTCGAGTGTAGTTTCATGGTTATTCTTATCAGATAGAATAATATCGTTGTCATTTGTAATAGTTACTCCTTCGCGTTACGCAATTGCGTAAAAAAACAGTTCCCGTATCTCGGACAAGATTCACGTATATTTCTCGAGATAAAGAAAATCCGTATAGTTCCCGGTCCGTGGAAACACTGTAAATATTGTACTAGGATATAAAATATTGTATGAAAGAGAAGTTGAGTAAAATTTCAACTGAAGGTAAAAAAAAATTTAAATAACTTAAAATATGAGATGATGAATGGGTAGGATCAAGATTCAACCAATTATAATTAATTAATATTCGACGTTCCTTATTAGAGGTGCATCATATTTATTTGGAGTATGAACGTGTTTAAACATTAACACGTAGTTAATCACTATCCCAACAAAAATAGTAACAAGGAGTAAACGATGGTTACAGACCGCTGTGTGTTACCGCTACAAAGTAGGCGATGAGGGTGCCGTACTTGGCTACACTACTCCACGATAGAACACACGATGAGACAGTCACTGCATTGGTATTGTAGTTACGCTTATCGTCACAGGCAGCAGCACCGGTTTGCTGTTTTCATACGTATAAAGTGCACGGGAAGCCATACCTGACTGGCTTATGGGAGAGCTGACTGGCTTTCGGGCGGGTGACTGCCACACCGAGTAAATTACCAGCGCACTGACTGCCAAACCGGGTGGGCACAAAAGTATATATTTATATATTTATATATATATATATGTGTCCGTCAGCACGATAACTCGAGCAAAAATGATCCGATTTGGATGAAATTTGGTACAAACGTGTAAACGTACGTTTATTCGAACGAGTTCGCGATCCAGCATGATCGGACCATGGGAACGGGGGTTTACGGGGGGTTTTATGGGGTAAAAATAGGTTTTTCCTATTTTTGACCCAAAAAACATAAAATTTAGCAATTTCTTTCCAAACCATTTTGTAGAGCTTAAAAAAACAAATAATTTAGTATATTGAAGCTTATTATGCGCCTAATAGTTACGGAGAAAATTCCAAAAAATTGTAAATTTAAAATTCCCATGTTATTCTTAAGGAGAATAAGTAAACTGTTGTAGTTTGCTTGTTTGTGAACATATTTTGATCAAATTTGGAAAATGTTTTTATTTCTCACTACCTATTCACATTTTACCAAAAAAAAAAGTTTTACCCTCCCTGATGCAGCAAACCTAAGTACTTGTTAAACTAATTCTATTTAAATCAAGAATAAATGTTATATTTTTAAGTAGACATTTCAGTGTAAATCCAATCAGTCAAATGGAAATTCGCTTAGTCTGCAGGTTTGCTGCGGCGGGGGTATTTGTCTATATACAATATGTAACTATGTGTTTGTGAACAGTTTTGATTGGAGTTCCAATAGACCCAAGTTTCATTAGATTCTGACATATTGAAATGAAGTGGCTCAAACGTAAAAGGCTACCTGCACAAGTGGTTGATGGGTGCACTGATGTTTCATGCTTATATACACAAACTATAAAGGCCATGAGAATTTCTTTATTTAACAAACCCCTGCCGCAGCAAACCTGCCGACCGACTAAACGAATTTCCATTTTTCTGAATTGAGTTTCAATTAAATCTATTTAAATAGCATTAGGTTTAACGAGTACCTATGTTTGCTGCTACAAGGAAATTAATAAAGTTTGTTTTTTAGTAAAATATTATTAGCTTAGTATGAAATAAAGTGTGATAAAAATATATCCATTAAAAAGCAAACTACAATATTTTACAATATTCTTCATAAAAATAACATGGAAATTCCAAATTTACATTTTTTAGAATTTTCTCCGTAACCAATAACTGGAAAAAAAACTCTTCAACATAGCCTACAAAATTATTTGTCTTTTTAAGCTCTTTAAAATGGTTCAGAGAGAAATTGGGTTTGAATTTTGTGTTTAGATGGTCAAAATTGAGAAAACCCAATTTTTACCCATTAATAAAAACGGGTGTTTTGCTGTAGGATGCCCTGATGCTACAGAGGGTAGCTCTGCAGACCAAACTGCAGCTCAAAGCCAATGAAGACGCAGTCCCTGACGTAACTGCAGCTGTGCAGGAGTTGCTCACATCTCTTTTTACTGCAGGTACTCAAATATACTCGTTCAACAAGTAGTAGCTGTAGGGGAAATAATATTACTAAGCCATCAACGTTATGTTTACTGTAAACTTAATTTTAGTTTAATTTATGTAAAATCTCTCGGCTAGGATGGGGATTTTCAGAATAAAGGGATAGCAGTTAGCCTACCTTAGGAAAAGTCCGGGCAGGCCTTGAAGAAAACACCTGAACACAATATTTTCATTTTTTCCCCTGGGACTTGTCAATTTTATCTTGGCAAAAGTCCCTCGGGGGAAGAGATTTTATATAAGTCGACTTGCCCGTTATATAACAATGTTTAGACTATAGAATATGGATGGACTGATGTACTCGTTCCTCACGCACAGGCTTTGTCTATGTGGGGATCTTCCATTATTTTTAAGAATTATTGTAATTCCTGTAACCATTCAATTTTTCATGGAATAAATGATATTTGATTTGATTTGATTTGATGACATCGTGAAACTATTGGAAAACCATTAGTATAAATGATTCAACCCCTAAATGTAAATATTATCAAAACATCCACTTGTTTCACTTATGATAAAAAATCCCAGGTAATAATTTATTACAAGTTTTATTTTTTTATTTCATTTTTTGCAGTTTATAACCACCAAGACGAGGAGGGCCGCTGTTTCTCTGACTCTATGCAAGAACTGCCTGAACATGATGAGGTTGACGGCAAGAAGTGAGTTGATTGATAGAAAGTTTCTATACCATATGCCGGGACTAGAATCAGCAATTTGTGAATGAACTAAAATATTTGCAAGTTATTTTGCAGGTTTAAGTTTCTGTTACCATACTTATCTAGGCCTGCTCAGTTATCACTTTGAATTTAATTTGTGTCGAATCCATCTATTCAGTTATTTACTCTCAATAGTATTAATTAATTGATGTGTGATTGTATGATAATTCTTACCCAATTGATTGGCAGAATGAATTTCTGTCCTAAAATAAAAACATTAAAAAATAGTACATTTTGGAAATTAACTGACCTGTCTAACCAGTACTTGTGGTCAGTGTACACAAAAACTTATTGTTATCAATAGTTCAGTCCTTTACAAAAATTTATCTGGTAAGTTGATGACGTTTTGTGTATAAGTGCAATGTATCATGTTACTTTATAGATTATTGCAAACATTTTCCGTCACGATTACTAAAAAACAAGCTTTCATTCACTTCTTCTGGGAACAGGCCAAGATCAGGTTCCTTTGTCAATATGTACTTTTATTATGACGTCACAACCAGCCTCTAGCTATAACTCTGAGTGGAATGGGAAGAAACTTCGCTTGAACTCCTGGGCACTTTGTCTCTGACAATTGAGTTGTTTGAAAAACAGTGTCCAAACTGTGACTGTCAAATTGCGCATGGGTGTATTATAAACAGTGTGGGTGCTTTTGTTCATACCCACTAAAGTAGCAATTGATTTAACATTAGACAGAAGATACTATAGACTAGAGATGTACAGGTCTTTGGTCTTTTTTGGGAAAATGTATCCCCAATTAGTTAATCAGATAATTTGGGATGTTATCCAACTGGGTTCCAACTGTCAGCGATTTCGAGCATTGACACCTTTTTTAGTTATAATGATAATTTTTCCGCCTTGGTGACAGGAGATGTTTACAATTTCGTGGCAATTGTAGGGGACAATGGTGTCCCTGCATTTGTAGGAGATCTTCACAATTTCACTGCATTACGGGAAAAGATGATTTTGTTTCACAATGGAGTGCCACAATAACAGAGTACAGTCATAATGATGGAACAGTGCAACAAAGACTTAAAACGAAACGATTCTAGTTTCTCATTAATGCTATTTGTAAGAAATTTTACTAAAGATTATAAAAAGCACAAGTTTTTCTTGCTTATTTCTATTCCCATCCCAAAAATCAGGAAGGAAATAATCCTGTCCTGTCCTGAACTAAATTGCAATTATATCCATCCCTATTAAAGACAAGTAAATTAAGTAAAAAATTGAATATATAGTAGCTTTTATTTTACTCCTTATAATGCTTTTCTTGTCAGCAGTTGTGTTGACAAATCAGCAGACATTTTTATATTATAGTTATCAGTAGTGTTCATTATTGATGATGTGTCCAGGTTGCGAGCTCTGTCTCTGGACCTCATCAAGCGTCGTCTGGATGGAGGACAATATCGCAGACTAGACCAGTTCCAGGAGGACTTATTTTCTTGTATGGAGCGAGCTCGCAAGCTGTCACGCACCGACTCTCAGGTCTTTGAAGATTCTGTGGAGCTCCAGTCGTACTTTATCAGGCAAAGGTAAATAGTCTACGTAATTGAGTACTTTTAGTTTATGAAATTCTTATATCTTTTAGTTTTTTTGTTAATGATATACTTATCAAGAAAGTAAGCGTTATCACTTTAAAGCATTGGTTCACTGAAACAAAGATGGGCATTTTTTCTGGTTATAGATATTGAAATACCACATCTAATGTTAACTGTAAAAAGCTATACTGAAAATTAATACAAAAAGTGATAATGTAAATCTCTTAAATCTTAAATCTGGTGAAAATGTGGATATAGTGACTTAAGTTCATGCTCACACACCTGATTGGTGATTGGAACCAAAACTGGTGGCCAGATGTCCTGAGATTGCTGAGATAGAGGAATCTTGGGGTGGTGGGTTTGGATAATTTCAGAGTTGTTTTCCACCAATTGTTGTTGCAGGGATGAGTTGTGTCTGAACGGTGATCTGCTGCACTCCCCTGCACTGAACTACACATTGTTGGACCTGAGTGCTGCCGTGGACCTGACCAGACAACAGAAGCTGCTGCAGGAACAACCTGAGGAGGAGGAACAGACTCGCTCCTCAGAAGACAACACCAGTCGGGTAGGTGACTTTCTAACAGTCCCACAAGAAATAATAAAATCTGTTGGATTAGTTGAAAAAGCTTGTAGTATTAATTATTATCTTGTCTAAAAGTAGTTTCTGTTTGTACAGGACGGCAGTAGCCACGGAGGTTTGGCTGTAGGAGTGGCAGACAACGCTCTCAGCTTCAACCAACAGGTACCACAGAGAACATTCACTATAGGAGTAATATACTCGTACTTAGCGTTTCTCTTTTTTGTTTGACATAGGCCTAAAAATGAAAAAAAGGTGAGGGTATCTGTAACTATAAAAATTGACTTAGGATCATTAAAATATTTAGCAAAGAAAGCTTACTTTACTTTATTTAGTTGAGTTGCAGCTTACTACATTAAGCCTGCAAAATTAAAAGAAGGTGAAATAAAATACCTATCTATAACTTGAGTTGAAAACTTGTATCATTCAAATTTGTTACATTTACTTGTCTGAATATGCTTCTATTTAGCCTACACAAAACTTTCCTGAAATTTGTTGCGCTATTTTGAACTACTTCTTCCTAAGTCACTCATAGTAAAAAAGCTTTTACACTTGAATCTTAGTGGCCCGATGAGTGGTATCTGTGTTTCGTAGAATGTCCTCAAGTAACTGTTTGATGGACAGGTGTATCGCATAGGAGACTTTGTGTATGCAGAACCAAAGGAGCGAGGCATGGACCCGATACTGCTCAACATCCAGCGACTGTGGACCAACCAGGAGGGACAGCAGATGTTGTATGGCAACCAGTACTACAGGCCACGGGAGACCTACCACGTCACCACTAGGAAGTTCCTTGAGAAGGTCAGTGTTATAACATTGTATTCAGCCCATTTCTCTATGACGATCACATTCAATCATTTCTTGATGATGTGTTTTGTCAGCTGACATAACACTTACACAATACTGATAGGTAAATTTTGGCAAACATATGGAGCAATTCATTTGTAAATTCTATCATTTCAAACTATGTTGCATACTAGACAGCGCTGGTGTCAGTTTTGTTGATGAGGGGAGGGTGGAGGGCACACCAGCGGTGATGCTGCCATCTAAACATGGTGACTCAGAATCTATGGCAGATAGGCCTACAGCAAACTATTGTACTACTCACAGCATCCCCTGGTTGCTTCTTCTTGTGTAAGGTAATAGTTTTTAGTTTTAGGTAGTGTCTGTCTACCTGAAACATGAAAATGGAATAATTTTAAACTAAAAAAAATGGACAGAAAAATATTGAGAAACTTTAAGTTTAATTACCTTTGTATTGATACTCCTGATTGCCATCTTTTTCAAACATAAGCTCACTACAACCAACATTAAACTTGTAAGGACAAACTTATCCCTAAACTCGCAACTAGTAGATATGATACTAGAAGATACAACGTATGGTGTTGCAGGAGGTATTCAAGACGGACCAACACGTGGCGATCCCTCTCAACCAGGTGCTGGGCCGGTGTTGTGTGCTCAGTGTCAAGGACTACTTCCGCTCTCGTCCAGACAACTTTGAGGAGAAGGACGTCTACGTCTGTGAGTCCCGATACTCGTCCAAAGCCAGAGCCTTCAAGAAAATTAAGGTAAACGATAGTTTAAATTTATAATTTAATTGTTTTACCGTTCCATGCTGTTTAAGATGTTTTTATAAAATGTAAATATATGCTATATTATCTCCTCATTTGTGTCATGAATGAAAAATGGTTGTGTTAAAGTATCAATGAACGTAAGCTTGGTTAGGAATATACTTAACTTACAAGTATATACTGGATTCATCAAGCAATAATGTGTATTCTCACTCAAGCTATTTTAAATACTTAGGCCTGCTAAACTTTCAAATAAACAGTATGTGTTCTCTTTTTTACAGAACTGGCCACAGAGCTTGACAGCCGGCTACAAACTATTGCCACGGGACGAGGTGTTGGAGCCGAAGCGAGTCATGTCCGTGTTTAGAGAGAGGGTGGAGAAACACAAGGAGGAGATTGCAGAGCTGGAGGAGAGGGAGAAACTGGTGGAGAAGGAGAAACCGGTCAGTGTAACTAGTCAAAGCCTCCTTCAGGGTTGTGATTTGTCTGATAAAGTAATGGCAATTAGCTTACCATTTAGTCTAACTCGCTTTGTCTACACTTTGACAAATTTCCCCACTTTGGTGAATTCCCTTGATCGCAGTAACATCTATGGTGAGTTGCCGCGATCACAGTTAAATTAACGCTCGCAATGGATTTCATGCCCAGTTGATTAAATTAATCTAACACTATCATATAATATTTATTTATGGCATGATTGATATTTCCAAATTATGGAAATAATATAAAAATATACACATTTAGAGTCAAATAAATAGGTCCATATGATATTTGTAAATGGCTAGTAAAATATAGTACCAAATTCAATATACAATTCTAATTCTTATGTAGATTTAAACACCTTTGTTTGATGATAAATAATAAGCAAACCTGATTGATTTGTTTGACAGAATGTGGTTCTCCAAACTGACGAGGCTGTCACATACTTTGAGCAGTTCAACACCAATGGCTTTGTGCTGAAGACTGGAGATTGTGTGTATGTCAAGACGGATACTGACGCCAGAGCTATCTCTCAGATTGACTCCATCTGGACTAATGCAGAGTAGGTTGACACAATCACACAACCTCAACTATTCAAATCACCAGAAAGCTCTTACCCAAATAGGGATGATCAGGACAGTCTAAAAAAATTAAGTTGTAAAACACAAATAAAACTAATAAGTTTCATATTTAACTGTCATTAACAGCAGCAAAAAACCAAGCAAAACATTGAAATTGTAAGAAAATTTAGTAAATTTAACATTGCCCAAATGATATTTATTAGTAAAGAAAGACACAAAATTATTCTCCTTTTTTGATTTAGAGCCATTTTGAGAACACAGAAGTTAGCCTATTTGTCTGATCATTATTGGAATCGAAAAGTTGATAATTAGGGTGTCCAAAAATGTTTGCAAAACTTAACCTTTAAGTCCCTCCTTCTTCATACTTAACATGGTGTGGTGATATTGCAGGGGAGAAGCGTATTTCCACGGGCCGTGGCTGGTGCTGCCATCTGCCATCCCTCACACTCCCGCTAGGACCTTCTACAAGCAGGAGGTGTTCCTCAGCACCCTGGAGGATACTAACTCTGTCAACAACATCGTGGGCAAGTGTGCAGTGCTGGAACATGGCGAATACATCTCCTGTGAGTATACACCATCCTCCGGTAATAAACATACATAGAAAATGCAATTTGGTAGCGCTATTGCTTTATACTAACACTTTATCGAGAGGTGATTGTTTTTCCACCATTTTCGTAAAAACAAGTTAGTGTAGCCTACTGTGACTGGAAGTTTGGTGCCTAACTATATCACTGCATTACTGTGGTAAGTCATTGTCATGTTTTTGTTTTATTGTGATTTATAAATATTTTAAAACCGTTTTTCTCTCTAAGAAAGAAAATTAATATTATCATCTGACTTACAAGGTTGTTTTGTACTCCAAACTCAGCAGGTGATTGTGTTTAAAAAGGGAGTCGTGACAAATCTGACTAGGCCTATATTATTCTTTTCCAAAAAAATTATTCTTTCAACCTTAGAATGAGTCACAAGACACTGTATATGGTACATTGCTAGTTTAAAATGCTGCAGGTACAAAACATTTCCTCTTTATAGTTAATATTAAGCCCACATACATTTTTACTTTTCACCTTTAACATCTGCATATGCTCTTATCACTTATTCACTTCCAAAGTCTCTTAAGTTATTGGAGCTGTGTTTATAAATGTTGACAGTATTTTCATTTAATATAAGCTGAGGAATGTGTTTAAAAAGACTCTAAAGTGTAAAAAAATCCATTAGATACATAAGTTATGAGAAATGAAATGGAAAATGTCTTTATTTGAGAGGCAAAGTTAGGACTAAAACTAGTCTTCTCTACCACATAACTTCTAAAACATAAATAACCATTCATTTTAATAATAACATTAATGATCAAATCCAAAGTAACATGCTATAAAAACCTATAAACATGATGAAATTAAATAAGGATGAAAGATATAAAGATGAGAGGGTGTTCTGTTTATATTAATTCGATTGTTGTTGTTAGGCCGGCCCACAGAGATCCCAGAGTCGGATGTGTATGTGTGTGAGTCACAATACGACGAGGCTCGACGATCCATCAAGGAGCTGCCTCGTGAAGGTCTCAAGAAGTACACTCACTCTGCCGCAGTCACGCAGGACGAGATCTACTTCTTCCGCAGACTCATCAACCCTCAGAAGGTGAAACGGTGTTCTGGCCAGTGTAAAATTGACGCTTGTGCACTGTTAGAATTCAGGCCTATTTGCATATTTATTTAAGTGGCAATAAAGATTGCTAATTGATAGTTAGTAAGTTACCAAACTCAAGTTGCAATCCCGAGTTCTGGCTTGTTTTCTTTGTTTTTTTATATATTTAAAAATTAGTTTTAGGTCCTATGCTTGCATGTTATACATATCAATGAGTTTAATCAAAATAGTAGGTGCTCAGTGGTGTCTTAAAAACTAATGTGTTCAAAAATATTGTTACGTTTTCATTATATGAGTAAAAATACTTACATTGTAGATCCATAGTAAACAAATCTGTTAGTAACTGACTAGTAAAAAAAGTTGGCTTATTTATACATCATATTTTGCTTTTAAGAAACAGAGGTCCAAACCTCTCCAAGTTATCTGAGTATGAAAAAAATAATGTTTTCCTTTTGTAGGCTTCCAAAGATAGGCAAGGTATTAATATCTATGCTAGCAAGTTAGTACATTAATTTTTAAATTTTATATTTTTTGTTTGAAATTATCATGTTCAAATTACATTTATACGGTTTTTGTCTTATAGGTTGGGGCCAAAGAGGCTGAGCAAGAATCAAAATCCAATCAGTACCTGCAAAACTTTGACCAGAATTCGGTGAGAGTTATTAGCTGTAGTCAGATCATTATTGATACATTTTTTATATTTTAATTACCTACATCCAAAAATTAATTAACCTCATTTTGAGAAATTAATTATTTTAACAACTTTTGTTCATTTATAACTACTAGTTATATAGTTTCATTGGTATAGATTTTCATTGATTTAGCTGTATAATTTAACCATCCTGTTTTATTTTCATTTTTGAGTAATCCAGGATCCATAAAATTTTTTTTTTTTATTAAGTAAAATCAAAACTTTGAAGTAAAGTTGTCAAGTCTTGGAGTAAGAATAATAATGTTAGCATACCTATCAAACAGTTACTGTCTTCTGTCCTATCTTAACTAGTCCCATGTAGCCTATATCGATGACATCATAAACTAATGCTCTTTTTTCCCTTTGCTGCTTTCTTGAGTAATATAATGGTAAGTGTTGTCAGTTATGTTTGAATTGTACTGTTTGCAGATTAAATGTTGTGCTCCCTATTCCCTTAGTAGTGTTTTTGTAGTAGGTATGTTCATACTGTGGTATTAGGTCTTTCAATTTTAGTTAAAAGGCCAATAGTTGTTGTTGATGTTTTTATTAGTTTATCTTTATTTTATTTATTACTTAATCTAACACTCTTAAGGGTTTACAGAAAAATGATATTATTATTGAAGGAGCTATAATTGCATATATTCTATCTAGCAATGCAAGTTTTATTAAAATATCTTGTAAATTTTTCAATCCAGAAATCAAAATGTTTAACAGATACACTAAAAACCTAAAAAAAACTATTTTTACGTTTAAGTAGAAAACGAGTGAGCTTAGAAACTATGCTTGTAGTTTTGACCCAAGTTACTCAGGGTTCCAATGAAACACCCTGTATATAAAATTCAAAAGTGTCGACTTGGATATTTTTCTCAATATTTGTGTGTATTTGAACATTTAACTTTTCATCCATTTTCTATTTATTATTATTGAGTTGGTGATAAATATAGGCTACTGTATTAAATTCATATTGCTTGTATTTAATTTATTAACTGATGTGTTTGTTTGTTGCAGTGTTCAGCCTCCTCCCCCGCCACCAATATCAAGTTAGAGGACATAATGTGTGAGGACTCCATGGATGGGGGCCCCCCGTCAGTAGGCTCCTTTCATACTGGCGAGAACTCTAATGCTAGCACACCAGTCACTAGCAAGAAGGCAGGAATATTTGTTTCATTGAACCCATTAAATACAGGCTCTCTTCCGTGCTGCCATGTATTTTTCAATGTGGTGTTGTGTAGTTAAGGCATTACACTTCAATCTATGATGCTCAGGTTTAAATTGTGATTGGAATTACTTTAATTTGTTTTGATTTTCTGTTATATTTCGTCACCAGCATGGCAACTCATAAGGTCCGTGTTAATTTTTAAGATTTTTAAAAACTTAAAAACCAAAGATCATAAAAATGTTGTGAAAGTGAAACACTTTTATTTTACACAATTTGTGTTGCTTTATCAGAACCATGTTTCTATTACCTCTGGCTGTTGAATATTCCTTCTCTTTCACTCCTTTTAAGTTTCCTTACCTTATTGTGTTTGACCTATTCTAATGACTCCTCCTGTCACATTATTTGGCCTTCTTGTCTTTGGTTCTTCTTCTTTGGTTGGAATTTGTTTGTCCAGATTCATTGACGAAGGACGATTACATTGATCCAAACCAACTGACTTACTTGTCCTTATATTCTCCACAAAAACTCTCTCCTTACACCTAACACGTATTGTCATGACAATATTCTTGTCTTTTGTTTTATTTTATAGTATTTTATTATTTATTGCTTTATTTTTTTTTTTAGTTGATAAATTGAGAAAAGTGATTCTTGTCTTAAAAGTAATGTGTTTTAGAAGAGGGATCAGAAAAAGCTGGTCACTGGGTATATTCTCTACTCGGGAGATGTGAGAAAAGGCATCGCTGCTGACAATCCTGCCTGTTCCTTCGGAGAAGTCAGTCGTATGGTGGGCAATGAGGTAAAACATCTCAACATAGTTATTCTCCACCTCCTCCATCTGGTCCTCACCTTACTGGCATAAGTTCTTCCTTCTTTTTTCACTTATCTATAATTAACCTGATTTCAAAGTTCTTTTATTGTACTGTACTTCCTTTTTTTCCTATTTTAAAACCCTCCTCCCACACTACTGGCTGATGCTGATATTTCCAACTATGTGCTACCAAAAAGCATCTAGCATATCCATATACTGTCTTGGTTTCAGAAAAATAAATTTAACTTCGTGTTATTAAAACCTCCAATCGCTCTAACAAAACCGTTTTGTAGGATTTCATCGTAGTAAGTCAAAGTCAGTCAAAACATTCTTTATTCATTATAGTTTCACATTACATGAACTTGAATAGAGTCATAAGCTAAATTCAAAATTGCTTACTGCTAATTAAATACATAAAAAGAGTACTAAAATTACTTTACTTTTACTTTTAACAAAACTATGACTTTAAGGATTACAGTATTTGGAATTCAAAATAAGTTAGGCCTAACTAAAGAATTCTGTTACTGAGTAGCAGGGAGTTCTTAAAAAATATTCTTTTAAGAGCTGCTTGAATTTATTAAATTTTGTTTTTTTTTTCGGATGTGAGCTGGTATAGACTGGAGAAATTTTAGCCCTATAGTACATATTTGTGAATCAACAAAAATATCTTGCATCTTAAATATACACATTTTAACTTCCTATACTTTCTGTAGAGCAATTTATTATCACATTTTGATAAACTTCCCCCAACAATAACGAGTATTCTTGCGATTCTAGTGGCGCAATTTACCCACAAGTGAAAAGATCGCTTGGGAAGAGAAAGCAGCGAGGGTGAATGAGGAGACAGCAGCCAAGATGGCCGCTGAGGAAGCTGCTCCTGCTTCCCCAGCCACTACCGGTAACTGTTTATGTTGTGTATACTCACTCAACCATTAACAACCTGAAATAAGCCATAAAATGATGTTAGGTATAATATAAAAAATAGGGAGTGGAACAATTCTTAATCTCGGTTCCATAAAACTTTCGATACCAACAGTATTGAGGAAAGGAAACACCAATTCCCATTGCTATGTGACTTTCTCACATTGAAATCTTGATTATCTCCCCAAAATTGCAGTAACCCAACTTACTAATTAACTGTTTTTGCAATCACAATGACATCGTGAGTTCGCTTTGTGGAAGAATGCCAAAATTTTTAAATTCCAAAAATGGGAATACAAATTTTATACATTTTTGCAGCATATCTCTACTTTTACATATTCAGATAATATATGCAACCATTGAATATTTATGATTAAAGCGTTCATTTCACTTGTAAAAATTCTACTGTGATTCATTTAACAGACCTGACTTTTTAATTTTAACCTGTTTTGTTTGTATTTACTATGTATCTGTATGAATATTGCCATTACTTTGACTCACATCTGCACATTGACGACAAACTAGGTTCCAGTTTTCAGGTTATGCTGTCTTGTCCTTGAACAGCTCTTATGTTAACAGTAAATGGTTTCATCTCGCACACTTAACCTGCAACTGTAACTTTTACAGTGGCCAACCAGAACCAACATCCAGACCTGGTGTACGAGTGTTGCTGGGACAACTGTGATTGGCAGTTTGAGGATATGCAGGATTGTATAGAACACGCTGTAGCCGAGGGTTGCGGCCATGTACACATGTACTTCGCAGCTGTTCCTCCTCATGGTACGTACAACACAACATTTAATGTTAATGGGTTTTTTTTTTCATTTGAGCTTTTTGAGCAATAAGATTTCATTTGTTGTTATTCAGTTACCAAATTAATGATACAGACCATAATCTCCAAGCTTTGTTACTGAAGGGTGGTGTTCTAAATCTTTGGAGGAAAGATCGGTCAATATTTCAGGATAGAATGTAGTACCGGTAGCCATCCATACATTCTTAACTTCTTGTTCCTTAATTGAAGTTCTTCAAAGCAGTTCTCAAAACTTATCGTAGCTCTGCCATGATAATTAAAATAATAATCAGTGGGGTTAGGTGCTTAGTGCACTCAAGTTTCAAAGTATTCAAAGTCCATTGATCCTAAAAGCTTGTCTCAAAACTTCCCAGTATAAGTCTCAAACTGGAGATGCTTTTAAATTTTTTGATTTACCATCATTCAGCAGCCCAGAAGAATAATACATAAACACAATTGGAGACCCCTTGATATAGACTTAAACTGAAATACCGTACCATTTCACCTTTTAATACATGTCAAAGAGAATCATGTACAGTTTGGTTATGTGTTGTCGTGTTGGTAGAACTGGAGTTCCAGTGCCAGTGGAGGGGCTGCACCAGGATGAGGAAGGCCATCGCACCGTTCCCCAGTCTGCACCGGCTGGCGCGACATGTCAAGGAAGTGCACATCATGAAGAGTCAGGGCCGTGTGGTGCATCCTGACCACCGCAGCAAGTAAGCAAGGGCTACAACTTTCTCATGCTATTATATTATAGAAAAAAGTTTATTTTGTTACCTTGGGCCAATTACTGTACACCCTCTTTTAACTTCTAAGGCTCTAAATGAAATACTGCATGGACCATCTCTGTCCAGGCCAAAATAATGGTTGGTTTAGCTGTGCAAAATTTGGTTTAAACAACATTATTTAACACCTAATGAGTTGCTTAAAGGATAGCAGGTATGTACCAGATTCTATGTACTCTTATATCTACAGAAAACCCATGGAAACATGTAAAATATATCACTTTGTAAGCAAATCAATATTAGCTATTAGCTAAATGAAAAGAAAGCAGCCATAAGAAGTGAAATTGAACACATACAATTTTTTATTAATTGGATTTACATCATGTCGTAGAAGATATTGTAATAAAGTAAACACTCCAGTGTATTCCAGGACTTGAAGCACTTAAGCAGGCTACTGAGCACCATCAAAAATTAGTTGTTGTTGCAGGGGTAGCCCAAATAATTAATAACATTAAAAGTCAAAATGGCTATCAATATCAATAGATATCAGACAATTATTCTGAATACATCCAACTTCAGGGAATTATCTGCAAATTCTGCAGAATATGCCAAAAATCTGCTGAACAAACCCAAACTCTACAAAATATATCCAGGTCGATGTTAAACCCCCCCCCCCCCTTTAAAATGGAAATTGAATTAAATGTGCCATGTTATCAGATTCCTTTGGTGGAGTTTAACTGATTGATACAAAATAGAGAGTTTATACTTTGTTAGTTTCATTGTCACTTGTCAGACATGCGAGTGCAGTGTTGCTCTGTCAGCTGATTGTTGTACATTAACACAGCTGTTTGCAGGAACTTTATGCCGTCAAGTCGTCCGCCCCCCCCTCCCCCCACCACTACAGCCTCGTCCTCCATCAGTGAGACAGCTGCTGGTTTGTGTTACATTGTCTTGCTCGGTAGCCGGCTTGAACTAGGAACCTCGGCTTTTTGTCATTTCATTGTTATATTTTTTTCTAGCATTTAGGTATATTGGTGTCCAGCATTGTATGGTGTATGTTATTTTGTATATTGATTTGTTTATAATTTCTATCCGTCTACAATAGATATTTGCCAAGAATGTGTTTTATTTTGTTGGTCACTCGACATGTGCATCCAGGCACATATATTTAGGCAAATTTAACTATTGAACATTCTCATATGATGTCAGTATTTTTATTTTGTTTTTATTTTAAAACAACTTAAAACAGTAGAAAACAGATATACCAAAAGAATATTATTACCCTATCAAAAGAATTCAAATATTTATTTATTTTATCTTTGTTGAGATCTAAATATTAACCTAAAGATTTTAAGCCAATATACTTTTTTCCAAGTGCATAACATAAAATTTCATAAAATTTTGATACTATTCAAAATTTCTATTAAAAACCTTACAAAATTCAATAATTCATATCTGATTAAAACCAACTTACTATTTTTTATAATCTAAAAACATCAATATATCCTTTAATAGTGAATCTGTAAGTAGATTCAGATTCGGACTAACTAAACAGAGCATGGTTGAGTGACTGTTGTGTGTCGTGTTGTGATGTGTTGGCATGTGCATGACAGGCATTTCCTGGCCTCCACGCGGACCAAGCCCGTCGCCAAACCTCTGCCCAGCACGCCTCTGCCTGGCATCGCCATGCACGCCGCATGTAAGTACAACTGGTCTTGTAATGAGTAGTATTAGTTAACGAGTGTGCGGATCTCGTGTGTTTGGTTAGCTTTCAATCAAATAAACCTAGTAGAGGCTCATTAGAGACGTGATTTTTCAATAAGTTACACAAAAACTTTCTTTTTGGATTTTTGAAAAAAAAATTAGAATAAAAGTAGATTTTATTTAGTAAGTACAACTCAGTATTCGACTGATGATCTAAATTATTGTTTTTATTTGGGATGGACGGGAATTTTGAGTTTGGGACGGGGCGGGATGGGATTTTTTCTACATGAAAAAAGGCATTAAAAAAAATCATGAGTAAACATTATTGCAGATATAAAAAATGACAAACACAATACAAAAACCAACATGGGTAAAAATACACAGATATTGCAAAAAACCTTTGACTAAACAATTTTGATTTGGTGTATTTTACGTACCAAGGAATCAGACATTAGTCTCAATAAATTGTACAGCTTAGTTGTTTTTGTTTTATAGAAAAAAACAATCTATTTAGTCTTGGTAATGGAAATTTATTTCTGTAGGAAAGTTTTATCTATGAAATTGGTATCTACCGATTTATTTTTACACCATGTATATTGATTGATTATGTATATTGATGAGAGTTGATGTATGTTCTCCACAGCAATGGCGCCTGGATTGTTCTACTCTCGTAATACTCCTTCGCCCGCTTCACAGAATGGAGGAGGTGAGTGTTGAATGATTTACTCTAAAAATGTAATTTTGTATAATTCATCTTATTACTGATTGAGCTAGTATGAAATACAGCCCTATTTTTTACTGATAAGAAAAAACATGCATTTTATGATATTTTTTAAGTTCTTCAACGTTTTAACTTGTTTACTATGTTTTGACACTTCAAAACAAATGAAGTTTTTATTTTTGCTCTTCAACAAAAATTTACCTATACTTCAATTAGAACTTTATTTTTGTAAATTAACGTCTTTGAAAACATTTATTGTCTTAAGCTGATCTATAAGAGAGAATTTCCAGACTTTATTTAGATACTGGATTAGACATTAAGACATTCCATATAAATGGGCCAGCTGTAGAGCTGTAGCCCATAGACTCTTAAGACATTCCATATAAATGGACCACCTGTAGCCCATAGACTCTTAAGACATTCCATATAAATGGGCCAGCTGTAGCCCATAGACTCTTAAGACATTCCATATAAATGGTCCAGCTGTAGCCCACAGACTCTTAAGGCATTTGTAGCCCATAGACTCTTAAGACATTCCATATAAATGGACCAGCTGTAGCCCATAGGCTCTTAAGACATTCCATATAAATGGACCAGTTGTAGCCTCTTTTTCATGAAAAAAGAACAAAGTTGAATGAGCCACTGACATAGTGTGCTTCACTCCACAATTATTCTATTTACCCATTAGTTCCTGTAATACTGTAGTTTGTGTCTAAAAAGATGCCATCGTTTGTGATAAATTGACTTTAATTTTTAGCTTGGTTAAAATGCAGAAATGAGTAATTTACAACAGCACACTCTGTCAATTTAATTCAAAGACTTTTTTAAATTGTAAAACTGGCTACAACTTTGAAATGGGAATAGAATGTCCAGCTCCATCCTTAGTCTGTAATAGTAATATAGGCTGTACTTTGTTGTACCCTTGATATAATTTACAAAGTGAATTACAATTTCACCATGTTGGCATAGGTTCCATCGGAGGTCGCAACAACGAGCCGTTGTTTGTCACAGTTCCTCCAAGACCTTCACGTCTGCTGCACTCTGAAGCTTACATTAAGTATGAAATACTTCTATTAATCTTTTCGTACATGTAGGAAACATTACTCTAAAGATGTTTTGTTTGAAAGCATCCAATTTATTTCCGTGACAGTTATATCCAGATATTGATAAACCCCATGAACTACTATTATGGGTTAAAGCTTAAATACAATTTTCCTACACTCTGAACCCAAGTAGGGTAAGAATGAAGGTAAACTGCATTTTTAGTCGCATTGATTTCTTACACATTTTTGACAATGCCGAGTTGAAAAGGTGTAGTCAAATGTATATTTTGCGGATAAAAATTAAGTTGCTTGCATATCTCTTATTTTAATCACCTGACTCAGAAAATTATTTCACGCTTGAACTGATATCTTGGGCCAGTTGTTGGCCCGGCCTAAATATTTCAGGGACCCACAAAACCATAGTAGCTACACCTCGGAACATATCAAATTTACAATGTTATTTCTGTCGCAGGTATATAGAGGGACTCCACTCAGGATCTCGCAGCATCAGCAACTGGGATAAGCAGTTGAAGGCGGCACAGGAAACCACTGACGCCCCGGAGTTGGCGCAACTACCGGCACACTGGCTCGGCAACGGTGTCGGTAACCATGGCAACATACTGACAGCACTGTGGACTCTGCGGGACTTTATGTTCCGTGACGCACTCGGCATCTCAAAACTAGTCTAAATCACGACCGATCTACCTCGTAACTCTGACGAGTTACAAGCCTGTGTAAAACTGTCATCTTTTGTGGATAGTGGAAAATTCAGTCCAAAGTATGGTTTGATGTGCGTTTAGTGTTTTGCCCAGAGAGAAAGAAGTTTAGTATAATAATATCAAGCAAAATTTTTATTGTAAAACGTATGTAGTATTTTCTACCTACTTAATACTGTAAATCAAAAGACTTTTTAACGTAAGAGTTTTTGGTAAAAGATTTAATACTTTAATTTAATACTATTACCATTTGATTAGTACTCTTCACAGATTTATTTAGAGAGTATTTTGTTGTTTACTATTTGTTTCTTTTTATTTGACCTAGAAAACCACTAAAATAAGACAAATTACCAGCTTTAAATATACAATAGGATAAAAAAGAGTATTTATCATAATTGGAATTGGACTATAATTATTTATGACCCTTACCTAATGGTATTAACCTTGAACTATGGTCAGTACTTTTGTAATACAGTATAGCAGGTTAGAATTTTGTGGGAGGATAAATATTCACATTGCTTAAATGTGGGAATTGTAGTTCAGCTGATCTCTCAATAGTTATCAGCAAGGAAATTGTTTTCTGTTATTTTGAATGTGCAATAATTTTCAAAATGCAACAGATGTATTGCAACTACCAAAGATTTGCACATAAGCGTTTGCTGCAGGTAAGAAAAGTGTTTCTGTAAGAAGCATAAATTAAAGTTCCACAGTTAACTATATACATATGTGAAAACTCACTTATCTGTTATTGCTTGTTTTTGACTGGAGATTTATAATAGTTATCAAAAATGATCTTATTTTGTTTTTATCATTATATATATACCCTAGCTATTATTGGTAGATTGTAGCTTATTTGTTTGTTCTCACCAAAACCTCAATTTTAGTCTTACCTAGCACCAATTCCTTATACATTTTTCCTAATTTTTTTGGGTGTAATTTATACCAATGTAAAACTTATAAATTAGCAAATCCTTAGATTTAAAATCCAGATTATTTCAACTCTTTGTTCTACTATTTTTTAATGACATAATCAAAAGGAGGGATTAAAATATGTATTTGGTGGAATATGTGTTTTGAGTGTTAGAATAGATGTTTGGCCATGAGTTAATGTGAGCTAGTGTATCTATATTGTAAAATAGTATGTTTAGGAATTACTTCCATACTAGTATGACAATTAGAAAATATTTCTTTTCCTTAGGCAAAATATTCAAATCTGCAAAAGAATCTCTTGAGTTTATTTAATAAAATTCCAGCTAAGAAATATTTTGATAGACGAATATTACTTTAAGGTGCAATTAAAAATGTCAAAAATGTATTGGCTTTTCACATTTTCTGACACTGTCAAAAATGTATTGGCTTTTCACATTTTCTGACACTATTAATCCTGTATAGTTGACAAATTTAGTCTATATATTTATATTGTTTTTAATGACTACAGCAAAGATTCTATATTTTTGTCATACTAATAGCAGTTGAACTAAATTTGTTATTGAATTAAAATTGTTTGAATTATTGTAATACAAAGAATTTGTGTGTTTACTTGTACAGTAATGTTTTCTTATGTTGTCATACATTTTTATACCTTTGAGTTTTGTGTCCAAAACGTGTTGTGAGTCAAAATAAATAAATAAGTACACATTTTAGTACTTACAGTTTTTATTTTACTCCTTACATCTAGCAAAACTGTTTTAGTGTCTATTATATAGTGAAATTTCAAATGTCATATTGCAACAAGCTGTCGATACTGTAAAACTTGTGGTGTGTGAAGGAATCAATCACGCTGTGTAACAAAACGAAATTCTATTTGATAAATAATATTTTTACTGTTTGGTTGTTTGTTGAACAGTTTATTTTGATCAGTTGTTTCTTTTTCTTTTTTTTCAACGTATACCTACTATAAACCAGTTCAGCTATGAACACCCCCACTGCAAGTACAAATCCAGCCCCAAGTAGCATGAAGGCGCCATAAACTTTGTGCAAAGTGATTGAAACCGGTTCCCTCTCTTTGGTTTGTACTTGAAAACGGTCCTTGTCATGCCAAAACGTGATCAATCCGGATTCAAATATTCGATTGCTAAATGTGTTGAGCATCTTGGCCATGACAGAGCCTCGCTGCACTATCAGAGGTGTGGACATGGCAGTGAGTAGGCAGGGGTGCATGGTGGTTACTAGACTGTCGAGGCCACGACGTACGGCCAGCTTGTGAGACATGTAGGTAGAGTAGAGTCGGGGCTGCAACACAGCCAAGTCTCTGCTGTTGTGAATCACATCTAACACAAGTTCAGCGTCATCAGCCTCTAGGATCTCAAATCTCTCCACCAAAGACTGCAAAACTCTGCTATTTTCAGAAGTTGTTTTTAAAAGCTCGAACATCCTGATCCCACCTGCAACTCTGAAGTTCTTTTCAAGAATTTCTCCATGAGATTTAATTTGTTCAATGGGAATCGGAACTGTCATGAGGCTGCCGAGGAAGGCCTCGTAAGCACAACGAATCACTAGAGCCCAAGTACCCCATTGAAACAAAAGGATACGCATCGATAACAATTCAGATTTTACAATAGTCATGTGTCCTGTAATGGAAAAGAATGTCGACAAGATGAGGCTTAGTTGTCCGGTCAGGGTAGTTTCTTTCCTCTCGACCCTCCTTATGACCACGATTACTTTTGTGATTGTGATAACTGTAAAAATCAACACACACCACACAATGAGTGAGAATTCTATCCAGTAAATAGTCCATAGAGGTATGTATCTACCGGCGTTCATCGGTATTGCCCATGTAATGCATTGAGGAATTGAAGAGAAGCAGTATTCCAGCATTGGATCGTTCAATGCATTTATGTTGGAATACAAACCAAATCCAAACTCGTAGGACTTGTTATCATTCATCAAATCTGTTTGCATCGAATTATTGTAGAAAAACCATCCACCGGTGTCATTGAAAACATTAGTATATGTAAACGAAATGTTGTAGTGAGCTTTCAAAGTATCCAGCAAGTACAGGATTGTTCCTTCCACCTCCCAAGTTCCGTCGGGCCCCCTGGTGAGAACACTGTACGGGTAGAGGTTGTTCCCAAAACACAACACTTTGCAGCCGTAGAAGTTCAATAGCTTCTTGGACCCAGAAAAAAGGTTGAAATTGGTCTCAAATCCTTGAGGTGAACATCTGTCTACTTTTTGGATTTGGACCCCACTTCCGCATATTTTTTCTGTGTAAGGGAAATATGTGAATATATCATAAGTCTTTGAAGTTTTACTGGGGATGAAACTAACTACCCTCAATATTCTATGAATCCAAAACAAACTGTGCACTCTGGACACAAAATATGTAGTTGTATTTGGAGGCCAAATCATTAGGTAAAATGACCCCTTGCTGCCTCTTGATAGTATCGAATCAAATATTTTATCAGTGGTCACATTTTCTATGGGTTGAATTATGTACATCCTCCTGTAAGTGAACACATCTGTTGGTGGTAGAGAGTGAATGCCAACAGCCTTATTCAATCCTTGTATCAACAGTTTCTCCCCAACAGAGGCTGGTAGCTCCTTTGTCAGAAATGTAATAGTTCTTTCTTGACAGAAGCGCTCTATTGTGGATTGAACACAGTCAACCAATGTTTTGTCGAACATTGCTGTGTTATTCAGCTGCAATTTACCAATAACAACCACAAATGAAAGGTTCAATATTATAAAAGTAGAAAATGTAGTAGTAGGAACCATGTTGGACACAATACCAAAATTATAGTAGAAATTTTAAAATATACTTCAGTACAACAATACAACACAACACCAGAGTTTAGAAACAAGTGATATTTTCTGGGGAGTGTTGGAGTACGGTAAGTAATATTTACCTAATATTTCAATACAACTACTCCTTGTAATCTAGTAATGGAAGTAGACTTCATAACCTCAGGTAGTTATATAGCTAAAGTGACCAATTAGTCCACACACTTAGTGGCTTGCAATTTCATATGGTTTTTAAAAAATAATATCCAACAAGGTTTTTAACAGAATTAAGTTGACTGCAGTCCAACCAAATATTTAACAATACTTTTTATCAAAACAAATCCAAATACCCCCGCCGCAGCAAACCTGTAGACTAAGCGAATTCCATCTGACTGATTGGATTTACACTGAAATGTCTACTTAAAAATATAACATTTATTCCCTATTTAAATAGAATTAGTTTAACAAGTACTTAGGTTTGCTGCATCAGGGAGGATAAAACTATTTTTTTTTGTTAATGTTAATAGTTAGTAAGAAATAAAAACAATTTCCAAATTTGATCAAAATCCTACTAATATTATAAATGAGAAAGTTTGGATGTATGGATGTATGTTTGTGACAAGTGAACGCGAAAAATACTGGTCGGATTGGGCTGAAATTTGGCATGATGATAGCTCACATTCCCGATTAACATATAGGCATATTATTATTTCAAAAATCCTTTCGGGCTCTGCCCCAGTGGCTCTGGAGTTTCCCATGTTAACTTTATGAGAAATGGAATTATTGAATCTTAACAGCTGTTTCAATTAAACAAGTTGGTTCTTTTCTATGATGTTCAATAGCATTAAAGTTACAAGGATTACCAACAGGGTGCAGCACTATTATTTCTTTTACATTAGCTAATTTGTAACCAAAAGGTGAGTGAGCGTAGCGAACGAACTTCAACCTGGAGGCGAGTTAGCGTAGCGAACGAGCTAACCTGAAGGCAAGTGAGCGCAGCGAACGAGCTCCAACCTAAAGGTGAGTGAGCGTAGCGAACAAACCTCAACCAGGACGTGATTGAGCCATGCAAACGAGATAATCTTGAAAATTAAGAAGTTAAACGGGGCAAAGCCCGCGGGTTACAGCTAGTATGTTCATAAACAAGCAAACTACAACAGTTTACTTATTCTCCATAAGAATAACATGGGAATTTTAAATTTACAATTTTTTGGAATTTTCTCCGTAACCATTAGGCGCATAATAACGCTTCAATATACTAAATTATTTGTTTTTTCAAGCTCTACAAATCGGTTTGGAAAGAAATTGCTAAATTTTATGTTTTTTGGGTCAAAAATGGGAAAAACCTATTTTTACCCCATAAAACCCCCCGTAAACCCCCGTTCCCATGGTCCGATCAAGCTGGATCGTGAACTCGTTCGAATAAACGTAGGTTTACACGTTTGTACCAAATTTCATCAAAATCGGATCATTTTTGCTCGAGTTATGGTGCTAACGGACACATATATATATATATATTTTTTTTTTTTTTTTTTTTTTTTTTGATTCAAGATGGCTGCTAGTACAAACAATTCAGTAGTTTGCTCTTCATTTGGACTAGTTTTATAAAGTTTCATTAGTATTTTGTGATTTCTGAGTGTTACTAACTTAACCTACAAGTTACAGTGAGTCATATAACAGCTAGAACTCTATCTCTTCACATTCATACTTACAATCCATCCAGTTTTAGTTTTATTGTGCTTGGATTTGGGGCTGTCTAAGTTTGCCTTCAAATTTAATCATTTCATGTTGGAACATTATATTAACCGCCAATTTCACATTTGACATTTCATAACCTCAAAATACACTACTGCTGTCAGTGCTGTCTGCAGAATCACATTTCTCAACTGTCAGTTTTTTTTCTCTCCAAGCTAGACTGATAACTCACTCAGCCTAAAGTGTAGTCTCAGTCTGGTCCTCAACCAATAGACCTTCAACCAAGAGTTGGCTTACAACCTCCTGCTTGTGCAGTCGGCTCTAAACATAATAGACCTCAATCCTCAACCAAGAGTTGGCTTACGACCTTTTACTTGTGTAGTCAGTTCTCAACATAACAGACCTCTGGTTATAACAGACAACTATTGATATTAGGTGATATCAATACTACCAAGATATGCATGAAGCTTATCTGTGCAGTGAGAAACTAACCAAAATTTTATCTTAAAAATATCACAATTATCTTCAGCTCAAGTATTCAGAATGTTCTCTCCCACTAATACAAAGGAATTTAAGGCTGGAAACTTTGTATTTGCTAAGGTTAAAGGATTTCCTTTCTGGCCGGCTAAAATATTAAATGTTGACAATACCTCCTTTAAAACAATTGTTAAATATGAAGTTTTGTTTTTTGGTTCAAATGAAACTACTTTTGTAAATAAAAATGATTTACTTCATTACTATGAAAATAAGTTCAGATACCCTCTTGAATCTGTGGCACAGAAACATAAAAATAATTATAGTGTCGCACTTAAAGAGATTGCCAAAGCATGGGAAGCGGAGAACAAGACAAATAATGGTTCCCCATCGACCCCATCCATGAAATCAGCGAAAACTCCAAGCCAACGATTGCATCATAACTCAGCTAGTAGAAGTGACAGAAATCAGAAAGTAGAGGTACACACTTCGTCCAGTAAAATCGATACTGTAAATGTGGAAGAAGTATCGGTGAATCCTCCAACAGATAAAAGTGATGTACAAAAATTAAGTGTACTTACTGAAAAATGTATAACACTGGAAAAGGCGCTGATTGAAGAAAGAAAACACAAAACAGATGACTTTCATACTCAAATATTAAAACAAGAGCTAAATAAATTAAAGGAAGAACTTAAAAGCCTTCAGAGGATTATTGATATCCTTCAAGAAGAAAAAAATGAACTTACAACTC